CTCCCCACAACCCCAAAACCCCAAAACCCCAAAACCCCAAAACCCCTTTTGCTAAGAATAAGATGAATATTATATTATATAAATATTATGGTACTCTTAGAACTACAACAGTTCATGAGTTTAATTAGCTAATGCTTTAAATATCGATAGTCTACCTTTGGAAGACTTCTTGGCAGGCATAATTCCCACTGAGGAGTAAATCGCCTTCGTTAAAGCCATGCTTTCCTCTTCAACTTGATCGGCAATGTGTATAAATTGGCACCTTTCACCATAGGAGCAGTACATTTCCTCATGAAACTGCTTGCAAACTTTAGTTTTGTAGTTTGGTGGGAGGCTTCTCTTGGCAAGCTCATCATAGCCGTGAGCAAAAGAGCATTTAGATCCGAATTTACAATCACCTGCTAGATAATTCTTGCATAATTCGGTCTTGAATTTCTTCACTAAAGAAGCCTGAGCATTTTCGGAGATCACCAAGTTGTCATTGTTTGGCACATATGAAATGTTGGTTGTCATGCATTTCTTAAGAACCAAGTTTGGAGCTGAGGAGTTAAAGCTACTATCAGAGCAATCTGAACAATTTCCATCATCTTCAGTGTGAGCCTTAGTATCAGACGAAGCTTTCCGATAGTTCCTAACACTGGTGTCTTTCTTCACAAATGCCTTTGATCTAGAATTCAGCTTTAATCTAAGCTTCAGTCCAGGAGTGTTGTTTCCTTCTTTCCTGTCATTAGGATTGTAAACTGGCACTTCTGAGGTATTTTGGCATTTCATCAGATTCATCACAGGACTTTGTGACTGGATTCTATCGTAACCGTACTTCATCTCTTGCTGTCTTGCTAGAGGAGAATATTCTTGCTCAAAAGCGCATACGTCGGGTGATGTTGAGGTCTGAATACCGTATCCGGTCTGGCGGAGAGGCGTTGGATAGTAAATAGCATTTTGGGATGCTGGCATACAATTCGAAAAGTTCTGAATTGGGGAATGCATGTTAAATTAATTATTATTACTACTTATTATTCCTTTTTTATATACGTTTCAATCGGTGAGTTGTCAGATGGGGTTTTGGGGTTTTGGGGTTTTGGGGTTTTGGGGTTTTGGGGTTTTG